ATGATGCAAATTTTATTTTTAAATTGTGGGAATGAATGCCTATTACAGAAAGTCGGCCTGATTAGAGTGAGGGTTTTAGGGAGAGAGAGTTTATTACTGTATTGTTTGAATCATTTGTAATAATGCACTTTTGTGTCTCTGGATAACTACATATTAGTAGTGAAGAAAAACTTCACTGCATGAAACATAAAAGACCTTCTTACTATGGTGTGCAAAGACCTGTAAGATCTCTCCAGCACCTGCTGCTTGGATCTCCTCTTCAGTCACTCACTCTAGTTCATTGTCCTCCTGCTCACCTCCTTGCTTCCCCTATGTGTAGAAGCCTGATGACACATCATGGCCTTTGTATCTACGGATACAATGCTGTTCCCTCACGTTTTTGCCTGGCTGTCATCTCTTCTGATTAAATGTCACCAAACTAGTAAAGCCTTCTTTAGTCATCTTCTCCCTCCCTGTCCACCTCACACACTCTGCTCCTTCATCTTGTTTTGTTTTTATTAGAGGATTCACTTCTTTGTGTATGAAATTATTATTTATTTGTCTGTTTTCTAATTGTCAATCTCGCCCCTCCCTGTCCTCAGATGTGAGAAGGTAAACCTTGCGAGAGAAGGGTCCTTTGTCAATGTTCACCTCTGTTTTTCCAGTGCCAATTGATGGGCACAATCTTGGCATTGAATGAATAGTTGTGGGTGAATAAATCACAGAAACAGTGCTTTACTTAGTGCTGCATAACAGACTACCTGCAAACTAAGTAGTTAAAAACAAAAACTATTTCTATTTTGCCTGGGTTTCGTGGGTGGCAGGCAGTTCTGCTTTCTGGCCTGGGTGGGCTCAGTTGGGACAATTAGGATGCCTGGCTTCTCTATCTACATATTCTTTCATGCTAGGCTAGGCTTCTTCAGGCATGGTGGTCTCAGGGTTTATGAACATGAGAGCTGACCAGGTGCGGTGGCTCATGCCTGTAATCCCAGCACTTTGGGAGGCTGAGGTGGGTGGATCACCTGAGGTCAGAAGTTTGAGACCAGCCTGACCAACATGGTGAAATTCCATCTCTGCTGTAAATACAAAATTATCCAGGCATGGTGGCGCATGGCTGTAATGCCAGCAACTCAGGAGGCTGAGGCAGGAGAATCATTTGAACTTGGGAGGCAGAGGTTGGGAGGTTGAGGTGAGCAGAGATCATAGCACTGTACTCCAACCTGGGCAACAAGAATGAAATGCCATCTCAAAAAAAAAAAAAAAAAAAAAAGAACATGAGAGCAGCAGAAGTTGCCAGCATCCAGCATCTTAAGAAGGCCTAGGCCAGGCGTCCCCAAACTACGGCCCATGGGCCGCATGCGGCCCCCTGAGGCCATTTATCCGGCCCCCCGCTGCACTTCAGGAAGGGGCACTTCTTCATTAGTGGTCAGTGAGAGGAGCACAGTATGTGGTGGCCCTCCAAGGGTCTGAGGGACAGTGAACTGGCCCCCTGTGTAAAAAGTTTGGGGACGCCTGGCCTAGGCTCTGGGACATACACAAAGTCACTTTTCCCAGATTCTGTTGATCAAAGGAAGCCCATAAGACCAGATCAAATTCAAGCATGTAGAGCAATAATATTTGGCCTCTTGAGAGTGGTGGCAATGGAGCATAGGGCCAAGGATGGGATTCATTAGGGGTTATTATTATTATATAGTGATCTGCCGCAAGCCCCAAGTGATATATATTTGTGCAAAAGCTCATTCTGACCTATTTATGAGTGTCAGGTTTTAGAACATAAGATTCATATCTTATATATTCATATCCCAGACATTTACATTTGTGCTGCCTGTCATAGTACCCTGCACACTATAAAAAATAAATGCCTCCTTGGTTTTGGTGTTGATACTGTACTTATATTGCTGTATAAATTTTTATGTTTACACACACATCAGTGGATATGCAGGGATTCTCCAAAGGCCTTAGTACGTCATTTCAAGAAAATGGGAGTGAATTCTGGAATAAATTATATTGATTTTAATTCAGACATTTAAATTTGTTTTGTCTATTGCTTTTGCAGTTGAAGAATTGATCTCAAGGCAGACAGAGAAAAAATAAATTGGTTTTATTGAATTCACAGTGACCTGATTAAAAAAAATAGTTGTTACAAGAAAAATGATCTTCCTATTTCGTTACAGATTTTTTCCCTTCAGAAATTTATTGGTTTAATATAGTAAGTGAAGAAGACCATGAATTTTATTTGGCATTGTGCAGAATGGTTTGGGGGCAGTTAGAGAACACATATCTTGGACTATTTCTTACTCAGATGATTGTAAAGCTTATTTTGATCAAGAAGGCACCTCTCACTGTTTGATGCTTTTACACTGAACAAACAACAGTCTGAAGGTCTGTAAGACAATTCACACTGGTACCGATTTAGATCATGATTTCCTGAAAAAAAAGTTGAAATGGTAGTTACTATTCAAATTATTTTCTTAAAACAAAATGAAGCATTTGAGTTTGACTTAGAAAATTCCTAGACTACAGAAGGGAATAGAGAAGAAAGCAAAATCACCTGATGTCTTTAAACTTCATCTTGAATGTTTACAATTTAGAAATAACATTCAATGTTCAATTAAAATTTGAATGTCTCCGTTTGTACACAGGAGATGAATAGATCTGCGTATACTTTTTGATAATTCTTTCACTATCCAAACTGTTGCTACTTATTATCTGAAATTCGGAACCAAATAGATTTGGGATAACATGGACTTTCTTGTTATCCGAACTTACTGGGCAAAATCCCAATAACTGAGAATGGATTTGGATAGCAAGAGGCACCTGGGTATAGGTTATCAGTGCTCTTAAATGACATTGGTAAACCTCTGATTCCATCGTCTACAGTGTTTGTAAGTTACTCTCTTCACTTAAAAATATATTGTGAAAGGAAGATTGCAGCTGGGGAGCATAGTTTGTCAGTCTCTCTAAATTTCCGCATAAAAACAGAGCAATTAGACGGCAAAACCCTCACACAACGTTGAGTACAAGACCACGTCACAAGGTCTCTTTACAAACTCCACATCCTCTCCATGGGGTGAAATGTGTGTAAACAAGTAATAAGCATGGTGTGATAAATGTTCTATTCTGCACTCCACTGAGATAAGATCAAGGTATAGGGAGTTTCTTAAAGACTTCTCGGAGCTTTGAAGAATATTTACAAAGAAAAATGACATAGTAGCCACTTAGGAGGCAACTTTCACACATTCAATATTGCCCACACGCTTCATGTGTTCAGTTTACTCATTCAAACATCTTTTCACTTGCCAAACTTTGTTTGCATGGTCAGTATAAAATACTAGTTGTGCATATCTTGTATGAAGCTTTAAGGCTTGCTTTTTACTTTTGTAAGATCAATTATGGATCTTTTAGGATTATGGGTGATCTTGCAGATCCATCAAGGTGGATATAAAGGCTACTGAATCTAATCCTTAAATAAAGTTGGTTTTATTCCTTGTCTACTCAACTCTGACTTTACTTTTACACAATGTTTTTCAACCAAGGGCACCATACACAGAAATAATTGCAAGTTTTAAATATTATTCGATGTTTAGGTGAAAAGGTAGACTAGACAATGGTTAAACCCATTACTCTTATCTTTGACCCTTGATATACTTTATCTTATGTGAGCTAGAGTTTAAGAGACTACTAGCTAGTTACAAAAGCTTGTATTTTTTTTTTTATAATACAAGTAAGTCATGTTAATTTCAGAAAAAAATATAGAATACAGACTAAGAATGAGATAAAAAATTACCCAGGTTTCCAAATTGTTGTTGTTATTGTTGGTTTTTCAGAAATTGGTCTCACTCTGTTCCCTCGCTGGAGTGCAGTGGCAACCTCTTAGCTCCCTGAAACCTTGAACTCCTGGGCTTAAGTGATCCTCTTGCCTCAACCCCCCAAAGTGTTGGGATTGCACGTCTTGCCTCATTTTCCACTTTTTGATAATGATTACTATTAATGTTTTAGTATTTATGTTCTTCCAGAGTTTTTAATGCAAATATATTGTTTTAGCAAAATGAGAATAATTTATATTGTTTTTTAATCTGACTTTTTCTTTTTAAAATTTCAATAAATAATGCTATGCAGCTTTTTAAAAAATGGTTTCGCCGTATTTTATTGTATGGATATACCATAATAGATTGATTACTTATTGTTAAATGTTTTGATTGTTTCCAAAATATTAAAGTTTTTTGCTTCAAGGTTGCAGGTGAGCCGAGATTGCACCATTGCTTTTCAGCCTGGGCCACAAGAGCAAGACTCCGCCTCACCAAAAGAAAAAGAAAAAAATTGTTATAAAAAGCTGCACATTTATTTTGGCGAATTCATCCAATTGCTTAGCTAAGAGTAACTAACAGACATGAAATTTATGGGAAAAAACATGCATTTTAATATTTTCAATCCGATTACCAAAGGCCCTTCAAACTGTACCATTTTATCTCTTACTAGTAGTATGTTGTGGTGCCCTTTTATTCACACTTTTACAAGTAATGTTTTTTTAATTGTTATTTTAATGTCCATTTGCTTAACTATTATTAAGATTGAACATTTTTGTTAGTTTATATTTATTGTATACTAGTAAACTAAGTTCATACTAATTGAAATGAAAAGAGCTTAATTAAATTAGGCCAAGGAGAGCTTATTGACTGGTCCCTCTCCCAGTGATTTATATAAATAGAAGGCTTTTAAAATAAACTTTGGTTTACTTATGTTGAAATAATATGCTGCTTTGGAAAAAGAATTCAGTAGCCCCTATGTACTGAAAAACAAAAAAATGTTTGAGGCGCATTGTCAAGTGTCTCAATACTTAACATAAAAAAGTCACAAGGTACCACTTAAAAAGTGTTTTTAAAATGAAATTTGTTTATGTATTTGAACAGTTAATTCTATTATATATTTTATGTACTTATTGAAGTGAAAAATGTGCAAAAGGTTATCTGTGACAACTCCCTTTCACCTCTGCCCTCGTCATTTCCTTCTCTTCCCTGCAGGGTATCCGATTTTGAGGTTTAAAAAGAATTATTTCTTACCTGCGTGTACCAGGTAAGAATTGACTGTTTATTTAATGCACTGTTTTGATTGTCTAAATATTTTTCTTGAGATTTTAGTAGTTTGAATTTTTTAAAAATGCTTTTTTTTTTCCTGGAGACAGGGTCTCACTCTGTTGCCCAGGCTGGAGTGCAGTGACATGATCCTGGCTGACTGCAACCTCTGCCTCCTGGGTTCAAGGGATTCTCCTGCCTGTGCCTCCTAAGTAGCTGGGACTACAGAAATGCATCACCATACCTGGCTAATTTTTGTATTTTTAGTAGAGATGGAGTTTCACCATGTTGGCCAGGCTGGTCTCAAACTCTTGACCTCAGGTGATCCACCCACCTTGGCCTCCCAAAGTGCTAGGGTTACAGATGTGAGCCATCACATCCAGCCTGAATTTTAAAATTATAAACTAGTATAGCCATTATGGAAAAACAGTATGGAGGTTCCTCAGAGAATTAAAAATAGATCTACCATATGATCCAGCAATCTCACTACTTGGTATATAAACAAAGGAAATAAAATCAGCATGTCAAAGAGATATCTATACTCACATGTTCACTGCCGCACTATTCACAGTAGCCAAGATATGAAATCACCCAAGTGTGAATCAACAGATGAATGGATACAGAAAACATTTACAAAATGGAATACTATTCAGCCTTAAAAAGAAGGAAATTCCGTCATTTGTGACAACATGAAAGAACCTGGAGACCATCATGTTAAGTAAAATAAGCCAAGCACAGAAAGACAAATACTGCGTAATCTCACTCACATGTGGAATCCAAACAGTTGCCCTCATAGAAGTAGAGTTTAAAATAGTAGTTGCCAGGGGCCATGGGGGTGAGTAAGGATATGTTCGTCCAAAGACACAAACTTTTAGTTAGACAGGAGGAGTGAATTCAAGTGGTCCATTGAACTCATTAAAAGAACAGATTTTAACTGTTCTCACCACAAAGAATTATAAGTATTTGAGGTAATGCATGTGTTAATTAGCTCAATTTAGACATTCCACAATGTATACATATTTCAAACATCATATTGTACACAAATATACAGAAGTTTTGTTAACTAAAATTTTTAAAAATCAATAGATTGAAAAATTAGTGTTTCCGATTCAGAATTATGATGTGGACAGATAAATACCTTTGGGAAGTTGGCACTGGAAATAATTTTGATGGAACGTTGCCCACTGCTAGAACCAGTTTTCCCTCCCTTGGAAAATTGTATCTAAAACTACAGGTGCATGCCACCATATCCCTGGTTTTTCTTTTGAATGCTTGATCATCTGTGAACAAATATTTCTTCATTTCCCATGAGTAATTGTATGGGTGCTATTTTAAAATGGTGGTGGTGCTGGGGGTGATGCAGATTAATATGTTAGGTCTTTGAGAAAAGAGGAGTTTTTGCCCTTTAGATTCTAAGTCCTAAAAGGAATAAAGCTGAGAACTTGAATCTTTTTTTTTTTTTTTTTTTTTTTGACTGCAAAATTCCTCAGCTGAAAGCCAAGATGACTGAAAGCTGGCGGGCAAGGAGTTCTGTAGCTGAAGGAATTATATATATGTAGAAATTTAATATCTCTCAAACACACTGTCTAGAGGCATATTTGTAAGTCCACAAGTAATCCTTTCCTGTGAAAATAAAGATTAATATGTTTAAAATAATTTATCTCATTACATGTTGACATCAGACTTTTTACTGGATCTTAATATTTCACATTGTAATGCTTGATCAGGTTGAATATTGAACATTAGCGAGTATAGAAACATTTATGAAAAATGACATAATTTATTTTGTGAAACCAATTCCAAATACATGGAAACATGGGGTTTGAATTAATTCATCAAGAATATCAATAAGGTGATCAAGCAGAGGCATTTTCATTTTAGTCATAATCTTTAAGCTATAGTCACAGAAAAATTACTTATTAAAGCAGCCATATGTATGATTAATAGGTTGGTAGTGGTACTAATTACTCATTAGAATGCAAGGACTAAAATACCCTAGGACTTGAAAAAACATAATGATTTTTTATTCGAAGGGTTGGCTGGGTCCCAAAGTCTCAATGGGTTTGTATTTTGAGCTATAAGAACATGATTTTGATCCAAATTGAAAGAGGAATTATTTTAGTAAGATTTTACTTGGTACTAACATAGTGAAACCCTTCTTTTTCATATGCTTGTTTAATCAAAAATTCCCACTTTGAGATCAATAACTAGGTTACCATTTGCCTATATAAATTTTAAAAGTTAAAATGTTGAAGTTCTGTAGCTGAAGGAATTATATACAACTACTTCGGGATATGTATGTTTTTCTTTTCTTTCTTTCTTTCTTTCTTTTTTTTTTTTTTCTGTTGAGACAGTCTCAGTCACCGAGATTGCAGTGCAGTGGTGTGATCATAGCTCACTGCAGCCTCTAACTCGGGCTCAAGTGATTCTCCCGCCTCTGCCTCTGAAGTAGCTAGGACTACAGGTGCATGCCACCACACTCCTGTTTTTTCTTTTGAATGTTTGGTCATCTATAGACAAACATTTCCTCATTTCTCGTGAGTAATTGTGTGGGTGCTGTTTTACAATGGTGGCCTATGTGACTGTTTAAATAATAACCAAATTTTTAAATTCATAAATTCAATTGAGCATCAAATTAGCAGCATTAATCATTATTAGAAGATAAATAGTGCATGTAAGGATGACTTTCTTGGATTTTAAAAATGTTTTCTCCATCATTACCACTGAGCACTGCAGCTTGGAGTGAGGATAGAGATTAGGTAAAAGAAAATCTGCTATTAAGTAGTGTCTTCTGAAACAAATCTTAAAAATAAGAAACAACTTAAAGGAAGTCAGATTATTTTATGTTTTGGATATCACAGTCATGTTAAAATTCCAAGTATCAACTATAATTTTCACATGAATAACACCATTAATTTTCATAAACTAAAACGACAACAAAAAACCGCACCCCACGAAATACTTTCATTTTAATTAAGTGCCATACAGATTTGCTGTGAATCACAGTGATGTTTGCTTTTGACGCTGGAGACAGAAAAGATAGCTCAATGCTTTATTTTTCATCAAAAAAATTAAAAAGTCAAGAAGGATTCTAAATAAATCAAAGAATAGTAGCTTAAACACATTGAAACACCAAGATAACATTTTGAGATGTGAGAGAATATTATCTTGTGAGTGGTGAATCTGAGGAAGGTTTTGTCTGTGTAGGAAGAAGAGGGTTAGCGATTCTACAACTTCTTGTTTCATGGGGATGGTAGGGATATGTGGCAAAAGCGCCATCACCAACATGCAAGTAAGAAATAGCAGAACGGCATGAAACAACTATAGGCATTAACTTGGATGCTTTGCTACCCATAAATCTCATTAAATGTATACTTTTAAATAAGGTTATTTAACATAACAGTTGAATGTGTAGCAAGCCAAAGCTGATTCTCTCAAATAGGCACCTTATAATTTATTTATCTATTTTATTTTATATTGGTGCAGTTTGACTAAAATAATGTGTCATTCTATAGAGACAGTGGATCAAGATTTCATTAGTAATAGAAAACTAAAACAATCATTCTTACACAAGACTGTCAACTCTTGACATCTCAAAAAAAACCATAAAACATTTATTGGTTGTGCAACATTAAATTTGTTAAACCTACTACAGTAACAGAGAACATACCTTACCAAAGTCTTGGTAGCATATGAAAATAAGAAATTAGGTGAGGACGTTTATAGGTTTTTAGAGTGTGAGCTATGCAATTTGAAGGTGAATCTTGGCAGAGGAGAAACTGGATGTAACCGGGCAGAGTCCAGGACAGAGGAGGCCTGGATGGGTGGGCACTGTGAGAGGAAAGTGGGAAAGCAGTGGTAGTGAACAAGAGGTTAGTCTTGCTAAGTAAGCAGTCTTAGTTTATGCTCTTATCTTCCAGGGGCAAGCCTCTAAGTTATTTATTTATTTATTTATTTATTTATTTATTTATTTATTTTTTTGTAGTATTGTTTAAGGTAGGGAAAGTATGCCCTATCCCAGAATTGTTTAACTTGGGGTCAGGAAAGGATGTTGGTTTCAGTGTTCCTTAACCTAGTGAGAAGGAATTATGTTGATGCCAGTCAGTCTGAAAGGTGCCCCCCAGAGAACTCTGCCTGTTAGTATTCATGGCCTTATGTATTCCTCTCCCTTTGAGTATGGGCTGGGCTTATTGGCTTCTCATGAATAGAATAGGAACAACAATAAAAAAGGCTGTCACTTCCGAGATGAGGTTACAAAAATCCAAGACTTCTGCTTTGCTGCTCCCTCCCTCTCCCTCCTGCAACACTTGCTCTGGGGCAAACAGGCTGTGAGTAGCCCCATGCGGAAATCCCTGTGACAAGAAACCGTCTCCAGCCAACAGATATCAAGAAGACATGGCCTGTCAACAACCATGTGAGAGAGCTTGGTCACGGATCCTTCCCCAGTCAAGGGGCGAGATGATTGAAGCCAAGCAAGAGACAGAGAGAGAGACCCGGATGAGCTGTGCCTGAATTCTTAAGTCTTGGAAACTGTGATGTCAATCGAGAAAAATGACTAGACAAGTCTCGTTCATTTTAGGAGGTTTATTTGCCAAAGTTAAGGGCATGCATTTAGGAGACAGGTCTACCCCTTCCTCTAAAGATGATTTTGAGGGCTCCAAATAGTTTTCATGTAAGAGGAGTGTAGGGAAAAATAGGCATTCATGCCTTTTTCTGGCTCAGTGAATCTGCATTTTTTACATGAGATGACATAGACAATTGGGCAGAGGGAAAATGCAGGGAATCTGCATTTTTAAATAAGATAATGTGGACAAAATGGGACAGGAGAACAATCAGATATGCATTTGTGTCAGGTGGGCAGGGAGTGACTGCACCTGTAAAGACAAGCTATCAAATTTATATTGCCATGGCGAAATTTTAACAGAAACACTTTGGGGTAAAGATCCTGGAGCTCGCTAAGAATTTCCTTGTGAACAAAATCTGGGGGAGGCAGGTGGCTTTTTTTTTTCTTTTTTTTAAATCTTGTAGCCATCTTATTTAGGAGCCAAAAAAGTGGGAGGCAGGTTTGTATGACCAAGTTCCCAGCTTAACTTTTTCCTTTGGCTTCATGAGTTTGGGATCCCAAGATTTAATTTCCTTTCACAGCGATAATAGTACTTGCTATTTTAATTTACTATGTTTCTGGATAATTTGTTATGCAGCAATAGATAACTAATGCATGTTGATATCATGTTTTCAGGATACATAAATACACTTTCTACTAAATTTTTTACTTATTTCAGAATAAGCAGATTTATTATCCAAAATATTGATTAATTTACTAATTTTGCATTAAAACTTGAGAGACACGCAACACATACTGTGTTTTTAATGAACATTTCTTTATTCTGCTTTATAGAAACTGGCCAAATTTGAAGCAGATAGTGACTACTCTGTGGAGAGACAGCTGAAGGGAATGATGTGGAATAACGCTTTCCTGAGGCACACACTGGATTAGGACCTTGGAAAGAGCTACTCTCTAACCTAAGGAGCATTTCTCTGCATTTTTTTTCTCTTTCGCACACGGTAGGCCTGAAGTCTACTTGAGAAGAACAGATATAAACCCAGCATCTGGGTCAGACGCAAAGTTTCCCAACCTTGATCTCAAAGGAGAATTTCTGGACTCCGTGTTGCAGTGAGTCCTGACTCCCCCTACTGCCTGTGATTGCTCTTCCTACCACTCAGTATCTGCTGCTTAAAAGAACAGTTTTCTTCTCCCATCACCAACCCAGGGAAATTCAATTCTTGGGAGGCAAGCCCAATTTCAAGACTTTATCATTGTTTACATTAAAAAAAAAGACATGTCAAAGGTGTTCTGAAAAATTTGAAAGGGGATATATGATTACTAATTGGGGCTAGAAAACCTGGAGTGCACACCCAGGGAAACACTGCTTCCCTATTCGTGGGGGTAATTGTGAATGGACAGGTGCCAACATTGCCCTGGAAAATTTCAAGATACAGAGTTTCTCTGAGCCACTGTTAACAAGCTACTGAATTCAACTGTTTCTATGGGGGGTGAGAAAGAGATAAGAAGAGCCAAAATACTTCTGGGTTCTGCATGTTTCCCAGTTGGCTTTGGTCTTAGATTTGGATTTGCATAGAGCAGTAGCTAAATTCCATTTCTTCCATATATTCAACTTATTTTGGGCCATACAAATCTACTTCGATTGTCTGCTTTATAGTTACTGAATTTTACAAGCTCTTCCCCATCGCTGTTTTTCTTTTCTGGTCTACCAACTTTTGTGTCCATTAGTTCCTCACCTGCCCCCTGCCCCCAATTTTGCAACATCTCTGAACATGTTGAACAGGCAAAATTTGTATATTTCTCTACAGATAAATATGCATAGAGTGGGTGCTGTGCAAAAACTTTGCCATGGATTAGCCCATCTGCCCCCACCATAGCCACATCCTTCAGGATAGACTCATCTCACCGTTGTCCCTGGTAAGCTGTGTGGCCTTGGTTTTTCTACTCTCTGAGCCGTATTTCTTTTATCTGCAGTTTCTTCTGCCAGCTTGAAAGCTTAACGAATCCACAATTCACACTGAAAGTCTTTCCAAGTCATTGCTAAAGTCTTTATTTATCAAAGCCAATAGTTTTCCCACCCTGTTTGTATTTTCTAACTTTTAGTAGTCCTTACTCACAAATGGGTCTCGCATCTATTCACGTAGGCTGTTGGTAAGTCTGCTGCGAAATCGGCTTCCGAAAAATGTCAGGGGCCCCAAAGGTCTGCATTCCCATATTGTTCTGTTTGTAGCTGAAGCATCAGAGGCCTCTGTCTGAATCATTAGACGGGAAAGATAGTGAGCCTTTATTAGCCTACAGCCTGTTGTAGATGACGTTCCTGGGCAATCCAGAAAATCTAACCAATTTTCTGGGAAGCTGGATTCGAAAATGAGGGGATTCAAGGGGGCAGAGTGTACTTAGAACCCTGGATGTGGAATAGGTAGAGCATTGTGAATGAAGGTTGGTAGTGGAAGGCAGCCAGGTAAGCCAAAGTTTTAATCAAAAGGCCACACAATATTGCAATGGGTCCCAAATGAACTGTATATTGAAATCACCTGGGAATCTTTTAAACAATGCTGAAACTTGCTTCTATTTCAGACATTCTGATTTAATTTTCTCAAGTGTGACCTGGCATAAAGATTTTTAAAAATTCATCAGTTCTAACGTGCAGCGAAATTGGAGAATAATTGAAGTCATGGTTAAAGGCTTGCACTTTGAATCTAGACAGATCTGTTTCAATCATAGGTTTACCACTAGACCACATGACTTGGGGCAGGTTATTTGACCCCTCTGAGCTCCAGATCTTTTTGCAAATTGGAGATAATAACAGTACCTGGCACTTAGGGTTATAATTAATACTAAACCTTTGCTTAGCAAAGTGCCTAGCACACAGTAAGTACTTAGAAGACACTAGCTAATGTTATTTAATACTCTTCCTAGAGGTTCAATGTTAGAAGGCATGACAGTGGTCCAAGTGGAGGTATACTTAGTAACCAAGACACCATGGGGTGGAGAAAAACAAAGCTTCTCACTAGCCCTGCCTCTAGCAAACAGGCAGTGGGAATAATAGAGAAAGCTTCTGTGTGAGTGAGAGACAGAGGGAGAGAGATTGAGAGAGAGGGGGGAGAGAGAGAGAGAGAGAGAGAGAGAGAGTGAGTATGCGCGCGCGCGTGTGTGTTTTACTCCCCAGGGATTCTGCCTTGCAGGATCTCATCAATCAACCCATTTGACTTATTACCTTTTTGTGTAATTTTGAGGTTTGTGTCAAAGGAACAAGTTCGTCGTGGTTGTTCTAATTATGGGCAAATCATGTGTAATATATATTACACATGTATTTTTATGGCAGGTAATTTGGGAAACAGGCTTAGTTTCTAATCATTTAACAAAGGAAGATGGGGGTGGTCTAAAGCTTAATTGGAAGCATTTTAAGTTCATTTTGGACTGAAGACTTATGGATTCAGATGTTTCAAATCTGTGCTGAAAACAGCTGAGAATATACTCAGAACCTTCAGGATTTGATTCACACATAGATATGCACATTTTAGATTCACATTATACTTCATTTCATTTTTAACAAGGGTTAAGCATAATTTTGCAGATATTCCTATTGTTAGCAGATGGCTGCATTCACACTAATAGGCAGAATTTTTTAATGTAATTTTTATTTTGAGGTAATTGTGATGATCTCAAAATGCAGATTCATATGGAGTTGGAAGATATATCACATACCCTTTACCTAGCTCCCTCAGTGGTAATATATTGCAAAACTATACAGTACAATAGCACAACAAGGATGTGGATGCTGATCCAGTCAAAGACATTTCTATCACTTCAGTGTTTGTTCATAGCCATGCCAACCTCCCTTCTGCCCCCTATAAATGGAATCACATAGTCACTAACCTTTTGTGATGGACTTTTACCATCATGCATAATTTGATATCCAGGTAATACCAGCTTCATAAAATGAATTGGGACATATTCTCTCCTCTTCTATTTTCTGGAAGAGATTTTGTAGACTCAGTGTAAATTCTTTAAACATATGGTAGAATTCTCTAATGTAATGATCTAGGCCTCGAGGTTTTCATTTCCTGACCATCTTTTCATGTACATATTGTTTATTTGCATATATTGTTTGGATAAATTTCTATTTAGCACTTTTGCCTATTTTAAAATTAGCATTGTCTTTATATTATTAATTTATAAGAGTTCTTTATATACTCTGGATATTAGACCTTTATCAGATATATGATTTGCAAATATTTTCTTCCATTCTGTGAGTTTTCGTTTCACTTTCTTGGTACTGTCTTTTGAAGCACAATAATTTCCAATTTTGATGTATTCCAACTTACTTATTTTTTTCTTTCATTGCTGTCATATCTAATAAACCATTGCCTAATTTAAGCAAATGAGGATTTGAACCTATGTTTTCTTTTAAGAGTTTTACAGTTTTAGCTCTCATATTTACCTCTGGATCCATTTAGAGTTGTTGTTTTTTTTTTTTAACTTTTTAAAAATAAGGTGTGAGTTCATGTCCAACTTCATTTTTGTGAATACATTTCTTTTGATTAATATTTCCATGATGTATCTTTTTTTATATTCTTACTTTAACCTACCTATATTGTTATATTTAAATAAATTTCTTGTAGAAAGCATGGTTTCCATTCCTTTAATTGCTGTATTTAGACCATTTATGTTTAATGAAATTGTTCATGTGTTAGGGCTTAAGCCTGCCATTTTATTTTTTTTGTTTTCTCTTTATTCTCTCTGATTTTTCTGTTTTAATTTCATTTTTTTCTGGTTTGTTTTTCCTTCTGTCATCCTGTCGGTTACTTGAACATTTTCTAGATTTCATTTTCTAGAATTTGGTTTATCTGTAGTGTATTTTTTTTTTCTTTTTTTGAGTCAGAGTCTCATTCTGTCAGCCAGTCTGGAGTGCAGTGGTGCAATCTCAGCTCACTGCAACCTCTGCCTCCAGGGTTCAAGGGATTCTCCACCCTCAGCCTTCCAAGTAGCTGGGATTACAGGCATGTGCCACCATACCCAGCTAATTTTTTTTTTCCTATTTTTAGTAGAAATGGAGTTTCACCATGTTCATCAGACTGGTCTCAAACTTCTGACCTGAAGTGATTCACCCACCTTGACCTCACTAAAATGATGGGATTACAGGCATGAACCACTGTGCCCAGCCTATCTATAGTGTTCTTTCTTTTCTTTTCTTTTCTTTTCTTTTCTTCTCTTTTCTTTTCTTTTCTTTTCTTTTCTTTCTTTTATTGTACTTTGGGCTCTGGGGTACATGTGCACTTCCTGCATCCTGCAGGATTATTGCATAGGTACATACATGCCGTGGTGGTTTGCTGTCTCCATCCCCACCCCCTGCACTTTCCTACATTAGGCATTCCTTCCGGTGTTATCCCTCCCCATCCTCCCTGCTCCCCCACCACTGTCCCTCCCCTCCCCTCCCCTACACCCCCACCTAGCCCTGTGAGTATTGTTCCCTTCCCTGTGCCCAAGTGTTTTCATTGTTCATCACCCGCCTATGAGTGAAAACATGCAGTGTTTGGTTTTCTGTTTTTGTGTCAGTTTGCTGAGAAGGATGGTTTCTAGATTCATCCATGTCTCTACAAAGGACACAAACTCATTGTTTTTTATGGCTGCATAGTATTTCATTGTGTAGATGTACCACCTTTTCTTTGTCCAGTGTATCATTGATGGGCATTTGAGTTGGTTCCAGGTCTTTGCTATTGTAAACAGCACCGCACTGAACATACATGTGCATGTGCCTTTCTAATAGAACGATTTATAATCCTTCGGGTATATACCCAGTAATAGGATTGCTGGGTAAAATGGTTTTTCTGTTTCTAGATCCTTGAGGAATTGCCACACTGTCTTCCATAATGGTTGAACTAATTTACACTCCCACTAACAATATAAAAGTGTTTATATTTCTCTACATCCTCTCCAGCATCTGTTGTCTCCAGATTTTTTTGATGATCACCATTCTAACTGGTGTTGAGATGGTATCTCAATGTGGTTTTGATTTGCATTTCTCTAATGACCAATGATGATGAGCATCTTTTCGTATTTTTGTTGGCCACGTATACGTCTTCTTTTGAAAAATGTCTGCTTGTATCCTTTGCCCACTTTTGAATGGGTTTGTTTGTTTGTTTTTCTTGTAAATCTGCTTTAGTTCTTTGTAGATTTTGGATATTAGCCCTTTGACAGAAGAGTGGATTGCAAAAATTTTTTTCAAATTCTGTTGGTTACTGGTTCACTCTAATGATTGTTTCTTTGGCTGTGCAGAAGCTCTTAAGTTTAATTAGATCCCATTTGTTTATTTTGGCTTTTGTTGCCATTGCTTTTGGTGTTTTAGTCATGAAGTCCTTGCCTGTGCCTATGTCCTGAATAGTGTTGCCTAGATTTTCTTCTAGAGTTTTTTTATGGTGTTGGTTCTTATGTTTAAATCTTTAATTCATCTGGAGTTAATTTTTGCATAAGGTGTCAGGAAGGGGTCCAGTTTCAACTTCCTGCATATGGCTAGCCAGTTTTCCCAACACCATTTATTAAACAGGGGATCTTTTCCCCATTGCTTGTTTTTGTATGGTTTGTCAAAGATCAGATGGTTGTAGATGTGTGGTGTTAGTTCCAAGGCCTCTGTTCTGTTCCATTTGTCTATATCTCTGTTTTGATACAAGTATCATGCTGTTTCGATTACTGTAGCCTTGTAGCATAGTTTGAAGTCAGGTACTGTAATGCCTCCAGCTTTGTTCTTTTTGCTTTGTATAGTGTGTTAGTGATTGCTCTATGTATTATATGTACATAGCTTAGCATAGTCTACCAATTTCACTTTACCAGTTTGAATAAATTATAGAAAATGTGTCTTCCTTTATGTTTCTTTTTTCTTTCTTTCTTTCTTTTTTTTAGAGACAGAGTCTCCCTATGCTGTCTAGGCTGATCTCAAACTCCTGGGCTCAAGTGATCCTCCCACCTTAGCCTCCCAAAAATATTGAGACTAAGGCTTGAGTCATTGCTCCCAGCAAAGTTTCTGTACCTTTCTCTTTTACAATTGTTTTAAATATTTTCTGTGTCCACATTTAATGTTACATCAGATAATGTTATAATTTTTGTTGCACCCATCAAATATAAATAAGAAAATTGGAGAGAAGGAAAGTCTATTTATTTATCTGTATTTTTGTTTTCCATATTCTTTCTTCCTGCTTAATATTCTACAGTTCCTTCTTTTATCATTTTCTTTCTGTTTAGAGGACTTCCTCTAATCTTTCTTCTTGGGTAGGGCTGCTAGAGAGAAATTTTCTTAGTTTTCTTTTATCTGAGAAATGTCTTAATTTATTCTTTATTTATGGAGGACATTTTATCTGGATATGAAATTCTGGTTTAGCATTTCTTTTTTTCAACATTTAGAGATGTTGTGAGAATTCTTTTTGGCCTCCATTGTTGCTGATGAGAATGCCACTGTCATTTGGATTGTTTTTCTTTTTTAAGTGTCATTTATTTTTTGCTGCTTTCAAGATATTTTCTTTGTCTTTAGTTTTCAGAGGTATGACTATAGTTTCTTGGTATTGTGGACTGAATTATCTTTACCACCATTGCTCTTCCCCCTCAAATTCATTATCTTGAAGGCCAAATCCCCCAGTGTGATTGAATTTGGAGATAGGACCTTCAGGGAGATAATTAAATGTGCTCATAAAAGTGGGACCCCAATATTATAGATCTAGGCTCCTTTCAAGAAGGGGAAGAAACACCATATCTCTCTCCCTTTCTCTCTCTCTGTGGATGCAGAGGAAAGGCCATGTGAGGACACAGTGAGAAGGTAGCCATCTATAAACCAGGAAGAAATGCCTCACCAGGAACCCACCCTGCCAGCTCATTGGACTTGTGAACCCTGAAAATCTGAGACAGGTCTCAGTGAATTTAGAAAGTTTATTTTGCCACGGTTGAGGATGCATGCTTGTGACATAGTCTCAGGAAGTCCTGATGACATGTGCCGAAGATGGTCAGAGCACAATCTGGTTTTACACATTCTACAGAGACGTGTGATGTCAATCAGCATAAGCAAGATGAACACTGGTTCAGTCTGAAAAGGTGAGACTACTGAAAGCAAAATCAGAAAGACTAGAAGTAGGGAGGAGACTTCCAGGTCATAGGTAGATAAGAGACAAATGGTTGCATTCTTTTAGGTTTCTGATTAGCTTCTCCAAAAAAGGCAATTAGATATGTGTTTATCTCAATGAGCAGAGGGGTGGCTTTGGAAAGAATGGGAGGCAGATTGGCCCTAGGCATTTCCCAGCTTGATGTTTCTCTTCAGGTTAGTGATTTGGGGGCCCCAAGATTTATTTTCCTTTCACAGACTTTTAGCATCCAGATTGTAAGAAAATAAGTTTTGGTTGATTAAGCCATCCATTCCATGATATTCTGTAATGGCAGTCTGAGTAGACTAATAAACTTGGTGTAAATTTTTTTTTAGATTAGCTTGTTTGCAGTTTGCTTACCTTGATTCTGTAGTTTTATGTATTTTACCTAATTAGGAAGTTTTTGGTCATTATTTGCTCAGATATTTTTTAGCTCTGTCCTTTTTCTCCTCTACTTCTGTGACTCCGGTGACAAAGGTTGGCTCTCTTGTTAGAGTCCCATGGCTTCCTGAAGCGCTATTTATTTATTTTTAAAATATCTTTTCTTTCATTTAGATTGGGTAATTTCTATTGGTTTACCTTCCATTTGACTGTTCTTTTATCTGTCCTACCCATTCTAGTTTTGAGCCCATGCACTGAGGCTTTTAAGTTTTGGTTAATGTATTTTTCAAATCTATAATTTTCATACTGCTATTCTTCATGTTTTCTATTTATTTGGAGAGAATTTGTTTCTTTGCTGAAATGTTTTTTATTTGTTTTAAGAGTGTTCATAATTGCTTGTTAAAGCATTTTTATGGAGTCTCCTTTAAAAGTTTTTGTCAGTTAATTCTAACATATATGTCAAGTTTTGTGTTGGCAGCTATTCATTTTTAAATTTAATTTGAGATCTCTCCAGTTCTTCATATGACACGTGTTTTTTTAATTGAAATATGGGCATTTTGGGTTTTATGTTATGAAGACTCTGGATGTTATGTAAACTTTCTGTTTTAGCTGGCTTCCTCTGATGCTAGTGGAGAAAGTGAGAGTTTTAGCTCCCCAGTGGCCTTGTCTTATGAAAGGGTGAGGGCCTTTACTGCCCTGTGGGATATAAGTCTTGCCCTCCAGCTCTTCACTCCTACAAAGCAGAGTGCTTTGTTATGCTTTGTTAAATAGCCTCTCAGGAGAGAAGCCTGGGCTCCTTGTTGTGGCTCAGGAAGTGACCACAGTTATTTCTGTGGTATGTGGCTGGAGTAGACTAGTTATTTTCTAAAAGCTTTATTCTTGATGGACAGGCCATTTGCTAACTTTTAGCTGAAGAGCAGAATTTGGGGAAGACTTTTGTCTGTGCCTATAAGCATTTCTAGATTTCTGGCTTCTTCAGTGGCAAGTCTGAAATATGTGAAGTGAAAAAGCAAAGACCAAAAACCCCAAACCAAACAAACACAGGGAACTTTCCAATACGTTGTTCTTTAGGGGTCAAGTTCCCTAGCTCATCTATTTAGGAGACCTTTCAGAGTCTCCTAATGTTTGTTTTCTATATAAAGCCCAGGGTTTGTAGTTCTACTTAGCAGGAGGAATAGGAAAAAGTATGTCTGCATCTTCCTTGATGTGGAAGTCCCCTAAATTCTATCATTTATCTGCTTATGATTTTAAATTTATTCAGATGTGGATCTTGGCTTTTCTAGATTAGACACAAATAGTTTTTCTTTTCGCATGAGCCACGAGAGCACCCTAGGTCACATGCCAAACATCCTGTGGCAATAGGCTAACATTGCCAAGATTCCCTACTGGAGCATGTTGACGAATATGTTATACATACAATTCGGGGCTGACGCTATATTTCTTCATTTATATCTATGAGTATTACATAGTTTTATATACTGAGTAGCTTGTTAACATACTCAGCAACCCATTCCATTTGGAATTAAAACATTTCTGGGGTCTTTAAAAAGCTGTAGAAAAAGCAGAAATCAGCACTCTGAAATTGGTTTATTTTATAGCCAAATGTTGACTAATTACTCCAATCAGTTAAATTCTTGTGCTTTTTAACTAGGGTTATGTTCATTTTCAGAGAAAAAAAATCACCCTCTGTCATAACATATACCCCTCCCTTCCAAACTCCTTGTTATAAATGATTAAGTGTTTCCTTATCTGGATTTTACTATCATAGTCTTATAAATGAGCAGATTGTTAAGCACAGCCTTCCTGGGGATGTTCACAAAAATGAAGATTGCAGTTTTCAGTCAATGGGCAATGCCTTGTGAATCTGTGCATGTTTGGTATATAAGTCCCTGCCTGGGGCTGATAATAATACAGTGAGCAGGCTCTCATGGAGAGTCACCCAACTCAGCATTTCTTTCTAACCACTGCCTTTTCATTCACTGAGATTGTGTCCAGGGCATGCTGTTTTCCTGTCTTTCACTGTTCTCAGCTCAATAGTTACATCTTAGGAAATTCCTTTTTATTGGTGCTTGTGCCTTTAATTTCATCTTGGTCCACAATGCTTTCTCTTCCAAATGCTTTGGAAATCTCAGAATAAATAGTTACTTCTTATACAAGTATGAGGCAAAAACCTGGAGAAAATAAAAAGTGATTTCGCTAAAATATGTATATTAATAGTGGAAGGACAGAATAAGATCTCTGGTTCTCTAATGAAAAAAAATTATTCCTGTCTTTGTTACATTTCTATAACTCTCTCTTTTTCTCTTTGTTATAGTTCTGTAATCTCCCTGGGAGCAAGGAAGGGAAAAATAGAACACCACTAACAATGGGTGATTAATGGTGGGAATAAACCTAAATCAAGACAAAAAAGCCATGCATAGGTAAGTGAAGTTTGATAAATAGCCAGTGCTCTCTAATGTGAATTCTCTTTGTCATTTCTGGAATACAACCCACCTGGTGCCAAAATGAAGAGGAGTTGAGTGGATTCTCCTTGGATTCTCATAGAAAAAGGTAAAAACATATACTATCCCTTGACATTTGTTGTAAAACAAATGAAGTCTTTTATTTTGGTTGGAAGTGATGGAAAGACAATAAAAAATCCTGAAACATAAAGGGAAAATTTTTGGCTTATGTATTTAAGAAACAAGCTTGAGGCACAGGTGGATCCAGGTGCTTAAAAGTTGAAGTCAAGAATTCATTTTTTACATTGCTTGGCTTTGCCATCCTGTGTTGCTTTAATTTCCAAGTAGCCTTGTCTTTAAAAAACAATGTAAGCAGCACTAGGTTTGCATCTTACAAAATTAGAGACCTTCGGGAAATTAAGATATTTTTCCCAATAGTTGCAGTAAAAGTCAGGCACATTGGTTGTGACTGGAACTGCTAGTTTTACATGTTCATCACTGGACCAACCAATGAGGCCAAGGGCTGGAATCCTCTAAATTTCTGACTTTTTGACCTCTGTTATGCAGTCAGTTCTATTTAAACATAAACTGAAAGTAGGAAAGGAATTCCTCCCCTCCCCTGCACACCAAAGTTGAAATGCTGTCACCAAAAGAAGGAGCAAAAGATGCCGGGAGGTTAAGTCAACATATTTCTACTACCCACAGAGAAGATAATAATGTGGATACATAATGAGGTCAGGGAGAATTAATCCCATGAACACCAAGGCTATCCTTGCTTTTGTTGGTTTCCGTATCTCTTCTGAATTAGTGGTAGGATCCTCAAGGTTCCAGTTATTCTCAAAATCTGTTTTAGAATTTTTCTAAAAGTCTTTATCTATCTTGTCCCTTTTAATTAAAAAGCACGATCTTTCAAGATGCATTTGTAAAAGAAACTTCGTATTCGGCATTATTTCTCCTGCTACCACGACCATCAAGGCAATATGAACCCTATTTGTGAATATAGTTTATTCTAGCAAAGTTACAGGCTAAATAAGTTCAGAGACTAGACTGGACACTTAACCACATTTTATAACTATTTTTAATGGAAAAAAATTCATATTCTATGCAACTTATTTACAAATGAACCAGTGGAATACTTGCAAGCATATGCTTCTAAGAAATCTAGCAGATGTATCAATGAACTTCAGTTACATGAAATCATTTCGATAAACTTAGTCTTCCTTCGCTATTCGAGTAACCAGGCATCCTCCTGGAGCAAAGTCAAAGTTGATGTGATTAGATATACAGGGGTTGGATAAACCATGTTTATTTCTATAAAAGGATCTAGAGACGAGCATATCTTAAACAGATCCCATTTTCTTTCCTTGGAGTACAGAAAAGTAGTGTTTATATTGGTCACTCTTGTCTGCTGCCTTCAGTTTTATGACTTGCGAGACTGTTAGTAGTGTTATTATCACATAGTTTAATCTTTTCGGAAGAATTCATCCATTTATCCATCCATTCATTTATTCATTGAGCAGACCCAGGGACAGGAATTTAAAAGGTGAGGCCGGCCAGGTCATTGGACCTCAAGCCTCAAGCCCAAAGAACCTTGAAGTTTTACATACAACAATGTTCATGGAAGTAGCAAGAGGCTTCATAGCAAATGTTAAACTTGCCTAGAATTCAAGGGATATCAGATGAAAGGATATCCTCAATCTGAATCTGAAAGCTGCATGATTCCCAGGCAGAGCTGAGAGAGCATTCTAGTCTTTGGGGTCGGCGAATGTAAAAACAAGGAAAGATCTCAGGAATTCACCATCTAGTGGGGGAAGTTGATGTGTGAAAATGTATTATAAAACAAGGCAGAGAGAAACACTTGCTATGCTGGAAGTATAAGTTCTGGATCTGGACCAAGAAAGGACCCAAGAGACATGCAACCCTGCATTGTTGACCTGGTCCATAAGCATGGCAGCATTTGGTTACTACCACCTCTGCCTTCATCTCTCCGGCGAGTATCTTATTCTTTGTAATTGCAAACAAGAAGACTCCACTGGCCCAGAGATTCAAAAATTTTCTTGGCTTCTCTTATGGAAATAGACAATCCTGGTGAAAATGGGAGCCCAATAGACTTGCCAAATTTTTTTTTTGCATATTTTTGTTTGTTTTTAAGGCGAGGATATGTATAAAGGGGTTAATGTATTTTAAATATAAAAAAATACATATATTTTTCTTTTTTTCTTTTGAGATGGAGTTCGGCCTTTTTTCCTCAGGTTGGAGTGCAATGGTGCAACCTTGGCTCACTGCAACCTCCACCTCCCAGGTTCAAACAGTTCTCCTCCCTCAGTCTCCCAAGTAGCCGGGATTACAGGTACATGCCACCATGCTTGGCTAATTTTGTATTTTTAGTAGAGATGGCGTTTTACCATGTTGGCCAGGCTGGTCTCGAACTCCTGACCTCAGGTAATCTGCCCACCTCAGACACCCAAAGTGCTGAGATTACAGGCATGAGCAATGTTGTAGACATGCAGAGGGTCAGCAGCTTTCAAAAAGCAAGAAAGGATACTGCCCATGGGGAAGAAACTGAGTTTCCCATGGGGACAACAGGCCAAACATACACACTTGAGCACAGAATCCAGTGCATGAAGGCTGGGAGAAAGAAACAACAGCACACTGGCAGAGTGCTGGGAGCTTGTGGAGAATTCAACACCAGAAGCACACAGCTCTTCCACTCCCTGGGCTCAGAGCCATTCAGGGAAAATGAGGGTAAAACTGGCAGGACTAAGCACCTGACCCAAAGCTCTTGGTTTACCTGAATGTGACTGTTCTAAATTGGGCAAGCAAAAATGTGTCTTTTCACAATAACTAGTCAGAATGAGAGTGCCAAGGAAAAAGGAGGGCAGATAAAGAAAACAATAGTATTTTGGGAGAAGGGGTAGTGGTGCCAGAGATTACATTTTAACCCTATCACGTTATTTCCAGGACAGATATAATTCAGAGGTACCCCAACATGTTATGAATAATGTGATTTTCAAATGTTTGTTTGAAATGTCACACTCATGTAATCTTCACCTTTTATTTAGTACCAAAATTTCAACAAATGACGCTGAAGAGTTCTCTGTTGATACTTCCGGGCTAAGATCTTTACAGACACTGGACTCTTAGGTGGCTTTCACCATGGCTGGAATCTAAGCTGGGATCTAGGCACTGCTGACCATCAGGGCTTGAGCATTTCCGGAGAATTTCTGGTGAACTGGTGAGGGGGACTAAGGAAAATCTGCCTGAGAGGTCTGAGGAACCACCTGACAGGGAGTTCATCTTACAGAAGCAAAGCAGGCACACTTTAAATGTTCCTTTCACAAAGCTGTGGTTGTCTGAGGGAGGAGGGATGGTGTAGTGAATGAAATTCTAATTTATTCCTAGTCTACCTTTGGGTGTATCTCTTTATTTTTGGGTAAAATCTCAAAAAACTCTTTAAACGCCTTTGTACATTGGGGCCCAACAGCAGTGCTCGTGGGCCTTTGTTCCAGCAGAGAGACAGGCGTTCTTCTTGCTTTGCCACTGAGTACCAGGAGCTTTGACTTCTTGACGGGTCGGGTGGCCATGGGGAATGCTGGCTCTCCAAGGAGTCTGATGTCTCAGCTGGCAGGGAAGCATAACCACAGGGCCTGGTAGATCACACTTATTTGGGAGCCCACATGAAATACCCCCTAAGGACTTCTAGGGACGTCCAAAAAAATATGAAAGGCCTTCTGTGAAGTACAAATGATCCTAAATGAACATGTGAGAGGAAAACGATAATTTAGTTACCATCCTGAGAATCATGAATTCAAATATTTTATTTACATATATATATTTAAAGATTTTAACACTTTAAAGGCTAGAAAACTGCCTTTTTATCCAGGCTGGACTTGCAAGATCCAGTGCAAAATGAAAACACAAGGCCCATGCTCAGAAACGAAGACTTTCAAGGCAGCAGCAGCAGCAGAGCCTTAAAGCAAATGCAGTGTGCTTCTGCATGCAGGGCCCTGTGTGACTGTGCAGGCTGCACAGTCATGAAGCCGCCCTTTGGATCACTTACCAGCCAGAGCCAACAGACAAAATAAAATATTCTTTATCCATCTCTCACTTTTTCTTCATCTTGCACCTCAAGTTTTAGCCAAATTAACTTTTGAATTCTTTGAAGGTGTCTAAAGTTGGGTTCCCAGAAAGGTGCATTTACTCGCAGGTGATTTTTTGAGGAAGTGCTCCAGGGAGGCCGATAAGGGCCTGGAGGAAACAGGACAGGCAAAGGGAGAAGCTGAGCAAATGTGTCATCTTTCTTTTCTCTCCTCTCTCTTTTTTTTTTGGCACGATTTTAAAATTTGTTTTATTTTGCTGTGTTTCCATCTTGCTATGTTTCCCAGGCTGATCTCAAACGCCTAGGCTCAAGCAATCCTCCCGTTGCAGCCTCCTGAGTAGCCCAGCCAAGTGTGCTCTCTTGGCCCTTAAAGGGAAGGGTTCAGCTTGAGTCCCCAAGGGAACTCAAGTGTAATTCCGTCTCAGTTATCCCAAGCTAAGACAAGGGTGCTGGGCTTTCACATCCAGAGCACTGACTAGTATTATTTAATAGCTGCCTAGTGCCTCTGGGCAAAGTTTCTGGACTCCTGAAGACTAGCAGCAGTTTCTGGCCATTGAAAGGCAGGGAGTGTGATGCTCCCCTCCCTGTGTCCATGTGTTCTCATTGTTCAATACTTATCTATGAGTGAGAACATGTGGTGTTTGATTTTCTGTTCTTGTGTCAGTTTGCTGAGAATGATGGTTTCCAGGTTCTCCATGTTCCTACAAAGGACACCAACTCATCATTGTTGGTGGCTGCATAGTATTCCATGGTGCATATGTGCCACATTTTCCCTGTCCAGTCTATCATTGATGGGCATTTGGGCTGGTCCAGGTCTTTGCTATTGTAAACAGTGCTGCAATGAACATTCGTGTGCATGTGTCCTTGTAGTAGAACTGTT